TTTTATTGACACTGATGTTTTATTCCACTGCAGAAACAGTTGCCGAACTGATCGATGACACGGAAGGTACCAGAGTTGAATTTTCAGTAATAAAAGATTAAGTGAATTATGCAATAAAGATATTTATTTTAGTGGTAATCGTGTCGACGACACTGCTGTCTGATGTGATTATATGTGAGGGTAGGTATGTTTATCTTCCTTTTACTTTACAAGCAAGATAATTAACATGTTAAATATATTTTGTCGCTTAAGGTGCGTTCTCCTTGCGGAAGACATGTAGCTTTCCTCGTACCCTGTTCACCTATAAGGTCTTGGAGACACAAACGCACATTGTAATCAAGTTTTCCCACTTTCCGGCTAATGTACAAAGCTTTCATCTATCTTTGGCGACAATAATAAGGTTATCGGAAGGTATCGTACAAGTTTTCTTTGTAGCAGAAAGTCAACACTTACAAGTAATAATGCATGTTGTGATAAAGCAGACCAAAGACATTATGGGAAATATCTCCGTTTTGAAACCGTAGTAGGGTTGAAAATGGATCCCAGTTTATACTTTGGAGAGTTGGAAGTATATTAATGAATGCATTTTTGCGCGCATGGCCTATATTTTACAACTAACTAATCTGTGATCACATCCTGGGAAGTCACTTAGCACATCAGTGGCATGAGCTAAATTCTGCCCATGGAATAGCATGGGACGCAGGAAAGCATTATGCTCAACATCCCCCACGAAATTGGGAGCAAACGGATATACATATGTGTTAACGTGACTATTATGGTGAATCTATAGTTGCGCGGTACACTTTCATGTCCTTTTTTCAACACATGTAATTCACATAAACCATCTCACAGCATTTGTCAAGCCTCGGCATTTTTACCTGTGTTGTACGCTTGTTCTATTGTTCTAACGAAAAATGGGGCATAAAGTGAAATGTGAGACCGATACACTTTTACCCCCTGTTGGATAAATGATGTGTTGCTTCGTCCTCCAGTGATAAGAGGTGATGAAATTTACGCGCTTGCATGTTGGTACTAAACTAGGCCAGCAGATGCCAAGCAGGTTGTGGTTTCCGAAGATAACTTTATTTGGCAGTCAAAAATATTTACCACTTACATCTCGTCACGCTGTTTGGCCCAAGGTGTGCGGTATATGCAACCTACAATTGATCTGCTGCCACCGAGTGACAAAATTAGCCAGGCGCAGTCAAGAGGAGACCAATGGGAGGGAGTGTGCATTTAGAAAATAGTAGCTTTTTGGATAGTAACAAGGAACTACCACCCCTATCTACCTTTCAATCACTTTTGACCAACTTATATTCATCAATCAAAATCTTTCGATGCCATACATCCGTTTTGCACCAAGTGTCAATAACCGAAATGGCGTCAGATTTGCTAAGATACACGGAAATACGTACTAAATTAACAGTGAACACATAGTAAGTAAATGGCAGTTGAACTATTCGCTGAGGTTGCCATTTTATTGCAAATGTTTCGTCACCAATCGGGGGTGACGTCGTCAGTGCGTAGTTGAGTGATATGCAGTAGCATAGAGGAGCCTCGGTGATGTCAGTAGGTAAGTATTCTGGCTCAGTAGAATTTGAGCTTATATCACGTGCAGTTTTCCGCAAGAAATCTTTCACAGTGAGATTGGTGATATCTGTTGATGGTAACGGGAGGAAGGTGACATTGTGGGTACACGAAAGGCGACGGTTAAGGAGATGAAGGCTTCGAAGCATCTTCTGAGCATTATGACATTGGGAGCGTACAGCTGGACTGCTTTTACTCTTACTTACAGGATAAATATGGGTTTCAACTCTACGACATGTAGGTTCTTACCAGAAGTAAAGCGATTTCGGCGGACTCCGTTTATCAGTAGTGCGTGGCGTAATTTTAGGTGCTTTGATATCGGGTACAAGTATTACTTTCGATGCATTTACTGTGCTGTCGTCAATCCACCATGAAGCAGATGCGGATGGTTCTGTTACCGGTATGGGATCACCAGCTTTTTGACATATAACCGTTTCGGGCGTACTGAGAAGACGAATTGCAGATTGTACCTCTACAGAAGGAGCTTGCACTGTATCTGTGCAAGGTACGCTATCTGATGGATCGGTAAGTACATCAGTGCTTGATGTGAAGCCATGGGGTGGTTCACGAAGGGTTGATGTACCTTGGCTGTAATTCATAACAATAAGTAAACATTTTAACATCGGATGGTTTATCCTTGCTTAACTTATTATTCTTTAGCGCTCAGGAGTTGAATTTGTCAGTAACCATTTTGACGGAATTCGAATATGTCTACACCATTTCCCGGCCAAGTTGTCCTCCTGGGCAACAGAAATAATCTGGAGGGGCATTCAACATGAGTCTACTCAATTAATTTGTTCCGTGCGTTGAAGCTGAAGCGTCCCACCTGCACCCCTATGACTTAGTGCATCTGAGGTCCAATTGGCTGAAGGCGACGGGTTATACACACACACCTACACACCTGCACAAGTGACTGGCGTACGCACGAAACAAATTACTTGAGTAGGCTCATGTTGAATGCTCCCTCAGAATATTTTTGTTGCCCAAGAGGACAATTTGGCTGAGAAATGGTATATTTAGTGTATTCTGAATCAGCAGTACTTTGTGATTCTCACCGAAACTTGCCAGAATAATGAGCGATTGTTGGGGAATTTTATACTCTAAATAAGACCGGTTCCAATAGCCCAGTTGCTAAAGGCCGATGAAGGGGATGAAGTGGAGGAGTGCATTTTGTGCTGATCATTATACACTCGAACTTTACTTTCCAATTTCTCCGTTCAGGTAGAAATAGCTTGAGAAAGAATGGGATCGGTAACCATGACCATTGGTTAATGCGCCACTACAAGTTGCACACACACAAGTTGCACACAGATTGGTGAGCGGCAGAGCCTCACGAGAATGATGGAAAATACTCTTCCGGGCTTTGTAAAGCATTTATCACACGGAAATATAAAAGTAATTCTGCTTGCTGAAGAGTTTATGCAGTACGCTGTGCCTGGTTCAAGTAACCAACTGGATGGCTAGGTTGATGCTTCTGCTAACTAACGATTCCGTCTGTGAGTTCAAATTAAGCTTGGCATACGTCAACCAATGCGTTGGCACAGGTCGGTCCATGAGTAGTTTGTGAGTTGTTATCAAACCTCATTTGCGATTTCCATGCATCAGCTATTAGACGCTAGTCATACAACCTGTGTTAAAAAGAGACAGATATCCGAAATAAGACGGATAAAATGTCACTACTAGCAAAGCGTTTCGATTTATTTAGAGTAGGGAGTTGTGCGAGTTGTCACAACAAGCTGGGCATCCTGAAGTCATATTAGAGGTGTGTAAGTCGCTGCTTCGTTGAATCTCTGCATTGGCGTGTAAGTGTTGTCGAACCACTTCTGGACACAAATCAGCCCACTGATTTGGGCCGCACATCGAAAAGCTATTACGTATGGATCCTCGCTTACGGTGCCTCTAGAATGGCTTATGCTACGGGCTTCGGTTCTATTTGCGCAGCCGAATCCAATACAATGCTGACCGATACGGTGTTATTCACCTCAGGTAACTTAGCTGCATTGAAAACGAGTCATTTTCTTAGGGAGGTATTGTGCTACCGTGCCCCATGCTGAGGCTGATGTTGCATTCTTGATGCTTCTTCACCGCAGTTGGGCTAAACCAACTTACACTTAAACTAGGTCTTTTAAGCTGGATAAATTTCATTCCGCTTTATTTGGTTTGTTCTGCCTCCCTGAATAATGTTCTATTAACTGGCCACGTTGCTTACACTAATTGCGCTTATCTTCGGTAATTTTGTTGCGTTTTGTAGCATTTTTAAGTAACTTGTGGACATTTCTTACTTATCACGGATTTGTTGTTAACGCAATTACTTCATATGGTAAAGTAGCGAAGAGTTATGCCACCGTATCTGTATGCATTGTTGTATTTATTTTATTTCAACTTGTCGTTTAAAGTGAATGGCTGTTGTTTGATATCCCCGGTGTGGTTGCGCTTGATGTGTATGTTGACAAGGTGCCTACCTGTCTATTACCCACTACATCGTTCATACTGGCTCCAGGAGACAGTTGGTCGTTGCTGGAGGGGGACGGGGTGCACGGTCCTTGTGGCCGTGCTGGGCTCAAAGAGCGGTTCCATGCACTCAGTGTGGAGCGGACTACGGTCCAGCCACTGCCTTGTGTACGTTTGATTCCCTAAATACAACGTGCTTGAGTTTGCCTGTGAAGGAGTGTGGGTCGGCTCCGTTGATGAAACGTGGTTCCCATCCGCATGCCTCCCGGTCTTATTCCTTTGGTTTACACTGGATATGGGGTATGTGGTTGGAGCTGTGGGTGGTACAGCGCAAGCCATCCATGGTCCCTCTGTAGGCGCAGGCGTCCTGTGGCTTGCCACAGTGACAGGCAAATCCGAAACCGGATGCCGCCAACCACCACCATTGTGCTACCAGTCGAAAACCAAGCAGCTTAACTGATCCGTCCTTTGGGGTCATCAGTGATTTCGGTGGCAGTTCGGATGTGCATCCACCTTTATGAAAAAACGATTGGAAAAGCGGTCAGAGTTCCGGTTACTTTTGCATATATGCGGAGTTGTTACACAATGGCAATATTGCGGCACTTGCCCGTTCAGCGCAAGTTGCAGCGGACAAACTAGCAGGGGAGATCCCCACCAGTTTCGTATGATGCGCAGAGTCATTGTAGAGTTTGAACAGCTGAATTGCCAACGGGATTCACCCACATTATCCTACCAGAGAGTATGCAGTAAACGTTGGTTTAATTCCACCTATCTATGGCCAATTATGATAAGTCTTTCTCTTGTATATAGGTGCAATATGAGTTTAATCACGTATACTGCGACGCATACCACTCTCCCATCTTCGGCAAACAGCTCGCTTTCGCTTTAAGGGAAATGCCCGTTATGAGAAATAATTCCAATCGACTAATCAGATGCTGAATATGTTATCCGATACACAGGCCTTGACCAACCTGCTTCACACGTGTGGTGAGAAAGGACAGAAATCACTCAGCAAGCGATTCGTTTGGCAGTATACGTAGCTCTGTCAACTGTTAGCGATCAAACGAAAAAATCTGGTATCCAGCCCTAGTGCTTTCTTGACCTCCGGAAAATTCGACCATAAATTGAATTACACAAGAGAGATTCTCAGTCAACTTCGTATCAAACGAAGGTCCATAATAAAAAGGTTAGCTGAGGGACCGAAAAAGGAAGGTGGCGAAATTCGCTTTGAGTACGGTACTTTTGGTTAGCTATTTGGCTAACTACCCGTAGTACATTTGTGTCGGCCGTATGAGCAGACAGGGATATAGTCTCAATGTTCGCAGTTTACCAGTCACTGATTAATTAGGCATCGGACGCTTAATTTTCCCTTTCAATTTTCGAGTGTTGTTATTTTGCTAATAGCGCAGTGTAGTAGTCCAAGTTTTAGTTGGTATATTATTCCTGCTCATGTTAACGAAAGCCATCTATGAGTTGTGCCACATCGGGGAATTCCTCTACAACTGTGGTCCAGCTTCCCAGTTTCTCCTCATTTGTTGAACTACTAATGAATAGGTGCAAGTTTCATCACCCGTACACTGGCTAAGCCGAAATCCATTGCAGGTCATAGGTTGTTTTCCACGAGCACACCAATTAAAAGGCGTGGCTGATGACTGCCAAGTTTACAGAATATCTTATGGTAATGGCATTTCATCCTATTAATTAGTATGGATGTTCAGATACTACTGAAAGACGATTCCCCGACCTAGAGCATCATCGTAGCCAGCTACGTATCAGGTAACCGCTTTTTGGCTAACGTCAATAACTAAGCGTATATTTTCGGTGATGTCGCCACCGGGTAAAACTTGTTTCACTTCTTGTGGTATACCAGTGAAACACGCATTTGTTTTTCACATGGATGGTGCAAGCAATCCAGTGCTATTGCATTCAGTCTATTACGTTCGTCTCAGCTTAAAATAGTTAACACTTAAAGAACTTCGTTGTAAAAACTTTGTCTTCTACCTTTAACAGGTGACAAACCATACACCTGCTCCGCCTGTGGAGTCTCCTTCACCCAGGGTTCTTCACTGAAGTTGCACATCAAATCGCGACACCATGACAACGCCAGCTACTTTTCGTTGACACGAAAACCTGGAAAGAATAACCTCACCAAACTTTGGACCCGTGTGTTGAAGAAGGATCTACCCAAATACAACTCTTTGTTACCCCACTCCATGATCACCGTGAATGAAATGGCCACGATCCGCTCAGCCATAAAACCTGAGCTTTTGTGGTCTGGTTTTCATGCTATATCCAGTCTAAAACACAAAGAAAGGCATCCTGGAGAGAAATACTTTGGAACTTTTGATCGCTTATCTACAGCCACGTCGCAGTTACAGGCATCAAGTACGCCTAAACTTTCTTCCTCCGGTGATATGTACACCGAAAATCGGACTGGCGGAGAAGAGCTTGCACCAGACACTACTTTACAACCATTTGGTTCTCCGTATGGGGAAGCTGACTTCATGTACAATTGGTCCCAAACCGCAAATCTAAGCGGGCTCAGTTGTTCTACGCTTATACCAAAGCACTCGTCCGATAGAACATGGGCACGATTTCGGGTTGAGCAGCGAAATACTAGAAAGATCAAAAAGCGCAGAACCCTTCCAATTGCGCTGAAGGCGATTGAAAGAAATGTCGACGGAGAGAACCCCGTTAACAAAGCAAGTAATTCAGACATTTTGCGACCGCAGACGGATGCTACGTTTCCTGTATTTGATTCTCCAAATTCTTCTGCCAACACCATCGCAACATGTGTCTCCGATGACAACCACTCCGAGCTACGAAAGTTAGATGCCAATGAGCAACTAAAGCCTGAATCCAATGAAATTGAAACGGAATATTTGCAATGTGGGTTGAAACGCGCTGTCACCACCAATACAGTAACAAGAGAATGTCATCCGTTTTCCATCGCGGCATTACAAACTTCCGCAGAAAAGCATTTCGCCGGATAATGCAAATCAGATTTGGATTTCCCCTGTTGGCTCTGCGCCGCGCTGTCTAGTGCAATACCATCCCCACCACAAGTGCAAGATTGAATGAGTGAACCCAGGGGCGCTTTGTACCTTCTGAAATACCGCAGACCGTGATCAACTCTTATTATTTTACAGCCCTTCTGTGGTTCTCGCTTGGGCTTCGGTCATATTGACTACTGCATTAACATTTCCTAAACTCCCATATTTGGATGGATATTTGTGGCAACCATCAGAAGCTGCTGCTGCGTGCTTCGAGTATCCATTATTTATAACCTACTGTCCGAAGCAACAAAAACGTAACACAAGCACCACATCCATGTTGTTGCTAATGCAAATGGTTGAGTTTAAATAAACAATCTTTACACGTCATGTACTCCTAGAACAAAAGAACTATAAGATTCTCTTTTCTGGTCCAATTATATGGTTCGCAGCAGAAACGCTTTTTCACGGGGAGTTGCACGTGCCACTATCCTCCGACTGAGCAGGTGAAAGATCGTCTGATTGTTAAGTGAAGTTAACAAGCAGAACAACACGGTAGCATACGGCCTAATTTAATACATCCATCACGAATGTATGTGACGTCTGATAACTGTGTTGACCACGAATAACTCCCGGACAGTTGAAGGGAGGTAGGCTGATCGAGTTGCATAAGTACTCGGTTTCGTCACAGTACTGCACAGTCAAACTCGTTGCTCTGTTTCTAACCTAGCTTTGAAAAATTGATGGCTTGATTAAAGCATGATATTTAGACAAGTGTACAAGTTACCAAGCGATACATTGGCATTTGGCTCAAAATAAGAATACAAAATATAGCTGCCAACGCACAAGTCTGTGTAAACGTTCCGTTCGCTGGCTATAGCTAATGTATCTCATGTCTGAAATTTTTGGAATTAAACATATACAAGACAAACGTTGTTGGGATATTCAGACCTCAAGGTCCAGCATGTAACCGCTTCTACCACGAGGTTCGCTGATTGTATATTGATAAACGGAGTGTCCAGTCTGAACTGTCTGATTGTACCAAAAGACAGTTTATTCCACGACACCCTACGACGCACTTGATCCTGTGATTATGATTTCGACATAAAAAAACATAATCGTTGCTTAATGCACAAATTGTATCCTCGTCACCTGCCATATACTCCTGCTCACGATGCACATGAAACAGGGACACTGCTGGATGCTTCACTAGCACGTGGCGCACGAAGAGTGTATAGATACTTCCGTAGCACAGGGACTGGTTGTTCACTTCCTGTTCACCTTTGTAGGCTCATCAAAAGAGCATTGCACATCCGTCTCGAATCGAATCACGCACGATGCACATACCCACTTCACTTGGGGTGATGCTTGAAATGAGGCGTTCATCTCCCTCCAACACGCTGGCAGGAGCGAGTTGTAGGATTTCGAGAGGTTAACCAAGTGTTAATCGTTAGTTCGCATATCATTTGAGGACAACAATATTCCTGTTGGTTATTTCAGAGTCAAGTGTGTGACATCAATGATTGAGGAATAACCCAAAATTTTGTCCCTCACTGTTTGTGGGTCTACACAAAATAGCATTAAAACCAGGACCAAAGCAGTGTACTGAGTCTTGCCATACAGTTTTTATGAGGCTATGGGAACAGCTGGAATTAGCGTACAGATGAAACGAAATTACCGCAGTGCTTGACAGTAGCAGGTCTAAATGGGAAAATAACCTGGTTCCTAGCGCATCACAGTTGCTCGATGCTACCGTGAAACTACCAAATTACTTTTATTTTTAATAAGCATAGTTCTGTGCATCTAAATAACCCATGTTTAAGGGTAAGTCAAGAACTCGGTAACGGTTGCATATCCCCTTCCAGTTGCCTGATGCATAGTAGCACGTAGCCCAAGATATAAGCAACTCCATCGTTTGGCATTGAAGCAGCCAGCACAGACTGTTCAAACATCTCCGTGTGCTAATGTTAGACTGCGTCATCGAATTTCCTTCTGAAGCGAGCCTTGGTTGCAAATTCGGCTGTCAGTCAGCAGCATCTTCCAACATAGACACACAACACAGCGTAAACGCTTAACCTTATGCGCGAAGTGGACTGGGACAAATAGTCTCGTCATTAGCGGCTAGTAAGTAGAAAACGGGAACGAGTGCAACATGAGGGAACGAAATTTCCATTTTTGGTCCACCCTTCGCACTGGAATGGTTCCTAATATTACGCCCAGAACGCAATGGCCGAAGGCTTACAACCTGAGGAAAAGAAACACTCAAAAAATTGAGTGAGGCAAAGTGAGCTATCATTTTTGTAGTAAACTGTCTACTGATCAGACTGTCGAAGGAGAGTTTTGATGTTGCTATCTCCCATCAATACAGAAACCCTCCACTTCGGATACGATCCCAATGGCTAAGATTGATCCCACAGTCAACCGAGGCCACAATTGTGAATAGTTGTCGCAATCCATGGTGCACGGCAGGTACCACAAAACTCAACATTAAGACTATCTGGTCTTCAGTGATGCACGGTCATTTGCGTACTGGATGACAAAGAAGGAAACGCGATGTTGTGGCACACCGAGTACCAGGATTGTTTCCTAGCTGGTTCTCCATTACAAGCTATGGTTGTAGCATTCTCACTCGAATACCTCATGCGTGTCCGTAGAGCTAGCGAGTTAGTGCGTTTCCCAGTGAGGACCTTATGGCTATTCTAACATATACTGTGGGTTGGGCCACGGCCGAATTTCCTTGGCCACAAGACGACCTATTGTTTATGAGGCATAATTTACTGGGGTGCTTCGTCGTCCCTATAGCTTGCACTGAGTACTTCTTTCATTTGATGCTCTCTCCTCAGCCAACTTCCATTTCGCTGACATCGTTTTCTCTTGGTTACTTTACTGACAAAATGCTCTTCTATTTGTTTCGTATTAGATTGCACTCTATGGAATTTTGCTAGGCGCCAGTCAGCTTGCGTCGTCCAGCCCCAGGCAATGCTGAATAGCTTTTTGCACTACTGATTTACTCATTAGTGATATCTGGTTTTCTCTCCGACCTAGCTTTTGTTTTGTCTTTCTAATTGTTTCACTATCAGTATGGATGAAGCAAGCAGCCACTCGATCTTGCCCTATTTATACTGTGGATGATGCCGACGAACCAGAATGCACGACAGTCCAATGCAGTTTACTGTCATTAGCTTAGGCGCTGATCACGATCTTTCACTTATAACTTTCCAAAGAAAATCAGCTTGAACAAACATCACCTTTAGTTAAGTGGCGAAATACATGTGTGGAACAAGAAAGGTCTGAAGGCAGCAAGAGAGATTGACCAATGCTAATTCGTTCCAGTACGTTTACAAATGGCTGTGGTATCGCTTTTTTACCTTAGAAATAGGGAGAGACATGTAGAGGCTCCATGGCGGTTCATTGGAACAACGGTGTATAACGGGTAAAAGGTCCTTGCTTGACAGGTCCTTCGGGATGGCCGGACTTGTTACTGCAAAATGGAGCAAAGAAAACATGATGATACAGTGGTGAGGGGGGTTACCCTGTCCTCTGCACGACAGTAACATGTAAGTCAGTGGATAGTGAGCGGCGCTATATCACATCTAGTATGTTATTCGCGATGGTCGTTGCCGTCCCCCGTAGTTCAGTGGTCTCAACCACGGACTGGCAACAGTGAAGTTGCGGCTTCGAGCTCTACCAGGGTCCGATGGAATGCGCACTGCGGACGATTCATGAAGGACGAAACGCGCGTACAGTGCTGTACCGGGCGTGTGACGTCTGTCTGAGTGAGTCTAGATTTGACGAATTTCTACCTATGCCATTCATTTCCCCCTACAACTCTTCTGTAAAAAAGTGGAAATCATTTTGGTAAGCTCACATATAGGCATGCATAAAAGAGCCTACCTCGGTAGTGAGGCTGGCTAGCCGAACAACCTCCACGTGGTGCCGGCTGGGTGGTTCAAGTTTAACCCGTTCCGGCAAATAGTTCGACGTCAGTGTTCCAAGACCCTGGCAAGCGTTCTCCCTATAAAAAGCCACAAATGTCTGCTTAACAACACGGTGACGTGGCGGTCTTGACTCGCCACAAAATACAGTAACTGGCCCGCGGATATCCGGATAATCCTTTCCAACCCACGGACAACAATCTTCTACTCGCACATTACCGACGATATCAAACAGTCAAGAATGGAGCAGCAGAATTACAAGCACGAACTACACAGCTACCTACACAATCGCATGCGTATACACACCTCTACACAAACACTCACTGTTATGGCAAATATATTGGATTTTTGAACATATTTGTTCATGCTTTGTTATGTTAATATGATCTTGCCTGTGAAGGCATGCCTCACGTTGTCGAGAATAAAAGCTTTATATATATATATATATATATATATATATATATGTACATATGTATGTATATATATATATATATATATATATATATATATATATATATACATATATATATATATATATATATATATATATATATATATATATATATATAGGGTAATGCCATTTGGCGCACCGTTTCTCACGTTCTATCGTCTCTAGATGTACACAGGCTATATTTCTCATGTAGGTTGACTAGAGGAAAGTCTAGATATTTTTTAAAAACAAATAACCGTCACCCACTCTTAATTCCTATTGATTTGGAGGGGGCGAATCGTACACCAGTGAGAGTGGCATTTTGACCTTCTGTGTTTTGTCAGTTTAATCTTGTTGCAGTAATTCCAAATGAGATTAGATAAATAGCATTTGTTCAGGTGGTAAAAGGGATGCACTTTTCTTCGCAGAACCACGCGTTGGTAATACTGATATACATGGTATATCCTGGCTACTCCGCAAAAATGAAGAGTATTCAAGTGTACCATCGAGTTATTTGAGCCGAACCAATATTACCTTCTCGATTTATGTGCCATTTTACAATGGCGACCCAGTCAACTGATCAGAAGTCACCCAGAGGTTTGGTTCATTGTCTGTTTTAACTCCTATTCGCTCTT